AATGCAATTCAACTCAATGCGGTTGGAGCTCTATTGAATTTCCTTGCCTGCTGGACAGAGAGAGAGAGAGTAGTGTTTATTATAAGGAAACAGGTAGAACCCATTCAAGGCAATTAATAATCAAGTCCATTGTGCCTACCAGATGAACTTCAGCAGACCAGATTCTGAACTGGTTAGTCAGGTACAAATCTGGTTAACTCCAGTGATTTCAAATACGTTTATTTTAGATTTTTATCAGTGTAATTAAGATTGAGATCTAAACTATTATGTCTTGGCATGTGAATAATCTATTTTTTTTTAATTGCTTCTTCACTTCTACAAATTATACTTGAATATGAGTGGCTTTGCTTAATAATGGTTCTTTTGTAGCAGTGGAAAATTTACCATTGCTGACAAAATGCTGTAATACGATAATATTTCAATGAGAAGAGTTAACAAATATCAAATACAAATGCTTGAAATAGTCCCACAGCATATAATAGAGGTTTTGAATGGTAATGATGAGTAGCAGGTGTGTTTTATATGCCATATCACCTAATGGTGCATATAATCCAGTATCAGTAAAATAGCTAATGAAAATACATTTTTGCAGTGATGTCACTGTTGCACCTATGCTTAAATATTTGGTAGTGCTGTACTAAATCACTTAAAGCAACGGGTGTCCAAAGCCATTATTTAAGTATACAGTTTAAGAGACTATCAAATGTCTCATTTGTTGGTCTTCAACAATCCAACAATTTTACAGGAATAAGGGCAGAAAACTCAAGACCACCATAAACTACAAATAATCCCAGGAGGGGAAATAGACTGGGCTGACATCAGACTCACACCCCTGGTAGCTACTATGATTAGCTTTTGATTCAGTCTGACACGTTACAAAAGAGATGATTTTAAATAGGACAAGATTTGAGATGGAAAAGAATGACAAAATAATGCTTTTAGGGAAGAGGAAGAACTTCTTTGAGTAATGTAACCAAATTTTATTTAACAGAGCTTTAATTCTGAGAAAATTTTACTGTAATTGTAGTTGTAGTTGTAGGGAGGCATTACATTAAGATTGTTTGTCAGGCGACACAGAAGAAAATGAAAGAAAGAAATTGATTGTTGTTTCATTGTTTCAGTGATAGTCACATAATTTATTTTTTTCTCCTGAAAGCTGTTTATTATTCCTAAATAATAATGGGATTTTTGCTTTCTTTCCACACAGTATGAAAATCAAGCTCTCCTTTTTGGAAAGTGGGGTACCTCAGGACTTGTTGGTCGCCACAAGTTTTCTGATGTTACAGGAAAAATCAAACTGAAAAGAGAGTACTTTCTACCCCCAAAGGGCTGGGACTGGGAAGGAGAATGGATGGTTGATCCTGAAAGAAGGTCAGATTTTTTTAATTTTATGCAGGTAGGAATAAAGGCATTTGTGGTGTTGAGTAAAAGCTCCTCTCTGTTTTCTTAGATGAGAAAGGGATTTTAAGCTGAATATTCCAGGACAGCAAAAACCAGCCAATAGTCAAAGCTAGTTAATAGTGCTAAAATTAACATTACCTTTTACAAAAGTATAACAAACAGTCAACAGAAAGAAAACATCCATTTCTAAGAACTAGCTTATGGTTTTTGCAGTCCCCATGTTATGATGGCTAGATTGCTTATATTCTCTGGGTCTCAGTGCTTCACCTTTTTAAAAGGGATAATACTAGAATGTCATGCCTCGGAAGCTACTACGAGGCTTACACGTGTCTGTGTGAGATCCACAGATCCTGCTGTCATGGTTTCAGAGAAAGCCCTTGGATTGGTGGATCTTCCCTGGATAGAAACTTAACTCTGGCATCCAGTACAAACCTGCAGTTCATGCTGTAGCAACACCATTACAGCATTTGCATGGGCATTCACAAGCACTGGATGTTTTTTTTGTATTTATTTCATTAAATGGTGAAAAGTTCCATTGCTAAACAACTGACACAGGTTATTTCTCAAACTGGCTGAAGGCAGGCATTGTTTTCAGCAGAAGGTTGTGGTGCCATGTGGCAGCTCCTCCCCTGGCAGACAAAATTAATGAAGTGTCAGTCCTTGCTCAGCTCTGACAGGTTCACTCTTGCTCTGCCGGAGGTTTTCAGCTCTGGAGTTGTGCCAGTCCAACTGTGTTGCCACACTTTAAAACAGACTGGAAACATTATTTGTTTCATAAACAAAAATCAGTATGAGAAACAGACTGTTTTCTTTCTTCCCAGAAGAAAATATTTTGTCCATTTTAAATTCTTGTGTTCTGACTGTGAAAAGAACTGTTGCTATAGAAAAACTGTGTGGGAAAAATATGTGCTATTATTTGATCCATTTTAAAATTTTCTCAGTTATAGGTATGAATGGATGAGGTTTTGTTTATATTGAATCAGTAGTTTTTATGAATTACATGACATGAAGATACTGCATCAGATCCTGTTGAAATGCATATTTCTACCATGCATCTGCTTCCACTGGGAGATGATCTGTGGCTCAATTTGGCCAGCAAATGGCAGTGTGGAACACACTTTGGTGCCTTCTGAACCACAGGGAACTACCAAGGGATAGCAAAAGGCTTTTATCTTATTTAATGTCCTCCTATTTCTTTTACTTTCAAATTAGAAAAATATTAGCCAACTGATTGCTTGCCTTGTCAACGTAACTGGAAACATGTCATGTCAAACTGGAAACAAAATGTCAGCATTTGGAAACAAAATTAAGTACATTGTCAAATTTTAGTGTATACATAGATGCATGTGCTTCAGAGATGCATGTAATTCATACACAGTCTGTGTCCCCTATATTAAAATTAATGGTATTTTTTTCCAAGAGAATGCATTGAAAGCAGATCCTGAATAAAACAGCAGTTAAACATTGCTGCTAGTCACTCATATTTATGAATAATGTTCCTCCTATTGCTTACTACTACTGGAGTTTCTTCAGTGTTTTCTTCTAAGTTTCGTTTGTGTAGCTGGACAATCCAGAATACCCCATGTGTGCACATCCTGTACTATGTTTCTATATGTTTCCTGTAGTGAACTAAATATTTATTATTGTATTTTATTTGGATGTGCAGTCTATTGACTGAAGCTGATGCTGGTCATACTGAGTTTACTGATGAAGTGTATGAAAATGAGAGTCGCTATCCTGGAGGGGAATGGAAAGCAGCTGAGGAGAGTTTCACAGATGTGGTGAGAGTTAAATTTTTCACTGGATAAGTAAAAGTTTAAGAGAAGGAGTACTAAGTTTTGCTACACAGTGTATTTACCCTACTAATGCAGAAAACTGTTGTATCTCCCTTATATAAAAGAATGGAGAAAAAGCCCCACCTCCACGTGAATTCACATGTCCTTTTGGATGGGTGTGGGAAGATGATGCTTGGAAATCCGACTTAAATCGAGCAGTGGATGAACATGGTAAGATTTACTGTTTATCTGCTGATATTTGGACAATCTGCTGTAATTCATAATGAAGGAGGCCACATGTCAAAACTGTAGCAATGTTCTGGGTGTGATATTGGTTGCCCTATGGAAAAATACCAAGGAAATATTCGGATAAAGCTGCTTAAGGAATCAGATAATATGACATTGAGAAAGTGTTCACGGTCTGCATCTGTTTCTATTTCCATTTTAATGGTTTAATAGCAGCAATTGAGTTATTGATATATTGATAATATAAATATATATAAATATAAATATAAATATAAATATAAATATAAATATAAATATAAATATAAATATAAATCTGAAAATTTTGCAGAATGATAAGAAATTTTTGTTTTGTTCTAAACAAAATGAAAACTCTCAAATAGTTACTGCTTCTAAATAAAAAAAATAGCTAGCTATTAGAGTAGAAAAAATCTTATATTTATCTAGAGTACTGACATGTGTCTTAATTAAAATTTCTGGTAGGAGTCTGCAGTAAGTTTTAAATGAGATGAATTTAAATTAAATTCTGAGTCTTAGATGCTCAGCAACTGAATTATACATAGACCAAAAATACAGTAACAGGCTTATCAGTTCTTGAAGTTTTATTATCAGAGTTCATGTGAACTCTGATCAATGAAAAGCTGCTGTAGTCCCAAGAGTGCACAGAACATTTGACTCTTATTTAAAATTAAGAGTTAGATTTTCCTGCAGTGGTGAAAATGTGATATCAACATCCAAGAAAACAAAAATGGAAAGAAAAGAACTTGAAATTTATTGTATCTATTTTAATGTTGAGATTTTTATTGTCACATATATTACTACACAGCACCATTATAAAATGTCATCAGTAGCCCCCTGACTATTGGGCTACAAGGGTCTGCAGTGCTGAATAGTCTTGTGTGATAAAGCTTCACTGTCTGTAGGTACAGTCACTCTATTCCCCATGTTTTTCTTCTTTGTATCTCGCTTGTATCTCTGAAAATATAACAACTCATCAATTCTGTTTCAGGGTGGGAATATGGAATTACTATTCCTCCAGACACTAAACCCAAGTCATGGGTTGCTGCAGAGAAAATGTACCACACACATCGACGGCGAAGACTGGTGCGGAAACGTAGGAGGGAACTGTCTGAAGGAGTGACAGCAGGAAGGGTAAGAAAAGAGAGATCCAGTCAGGGACCTGCACATTGCAACAGTTTGAGGTTTTTGGGTTTTGTTTTTTGTTTTTTTTAATCTGCATGAGATTACTCATTACCTGAATGAAGAAAAAAATGTAATACCAACCAAAAAAAAATCTAGAACAACCTTTTATATTTTCATTATATTCCCTTTTTTAATCTTTTTGTACATTGATGTTTCTAGCTTTGGTTTTTGAAGAGGTTTATAAGGCAGCCTGCCAGAGGAAACACTGCTCTTTTTCACTACACTGTGGGTAACAGCAATTTATATCTTCAAGGGAAGGTCATCATATGAAGATCAAGAGGGATGGGAATATGCTTCCTTGATTGGCTGGAAATTCCACTGGGAGCAACGCAGTTCTGATACTTTCCGTCGAAGGCGATGGAGACGAAAAATGGCTCCCTCAGAGACACATGGTGCTGCAGCTATCTTTAAACTTGAAGGTGCTTTGGTAAGGGACAGTGACAAAAACATCTTTCAAAGGTCAACCTGTTAATTTGCAGTAAATAAACAAATATATCAGACATTCTAGCCCCTGAATTGTTAAACTAGTATATAATTGAGAAGCTAATACAGTGTACATTGTTTAAATCATTTAGGTAGAAAGGGCCATTAAAGTTGGGGTAGAGATTCTTGTATTATTACTAATTTTTTATATTTTTATTACATATGCAATATTATATATCACATTGTATATTATTTGTTTTATATTTTTTAATATTATTTATTACTTTCTTTTCCAATTATTTTTATTTTTGTATTATGAGAGGTTTAGCTCAAAAGGCCGGATTACTAGATGAGCCTCCTGAAAGTAAAGTGAAAAGATAGCTCAAGATTTTCATGCATGTAATTTATAGTTTTTATGTTTTAACATCAGCACAAAAGACAACAGGCTTGGAAAAAGCTGCCCCTGATGAATATTTGTTTGTTTAAACAACTAAACACAAGAGAAGATAGTTAAAAAAAATCCACAAGAAAAGAAAATAAAATGTTGGAGAAACCAGAATTTCATATGACACAGATAGATGAGCAGGATGCAGTTATTCCTCAAGTCTGGAGGTTAACACAGCTTCACAAATAACCAGTATTTACCAAAATACAAACTGTAGCAAGTAATGTGAGAAGGCTCCTTTGATTTTATAAAATATATCTATTCTGGTTCCACTAACTGCTATAATTCCTGGGCTGGGCTAAAGCCTTAGAGCAGTTCTCAGGCACAGCACAGTGCAGGAGACCTGTGACCTTTCCTCCACTATGAGCTGACAGGTAGCTAGATATCTCCAGAGATAAGACATTCTGGAAGTAAGATGAAATGACTGCAAACGATTTCTGCATAGCTCCAATTGACAACTGGAAATGACCCCTGGACATGAGCAAACATCTTGTAAAGTACATTTACTCACAGAAGTAGATTTCTCCTTATGCTGGAAGAGAGATTGAAACCCATAAATTCCCCCACATAGTTAAATTCTATCAAGTTCCTTCTATGTTTGTAAATACTCAATAACTTTTCTCTATATGTAATTTCAGGGAGCAGACAATAGTGTCGATGATGGAGAAGGGAAGAGTTCAGACAGAACCAAGGAGTCAGCTACAATGGTGTTTGGTGCCAATACACCAATGGTTTCCTGCTATTTTGACAGTAGGTTCTTTAACAATTCCTTTCTCAAAAATCATGTCTGTTTCATTTTGGTCTCAAACAGAATCACAAATCTTCGTGGTTTACATCTAGCTTTATGTAGCTAGCTTCTGTAGTAATTACTATCAGACCCTTGATTGGATCCTATTTAAGTTATTCAAGAAAAATTACAGTTAGGAATTTCAGTATTTCAGTCCACTGTCACACACATATTTTTAAAACCTGTATGGGACAGGAATTTCAATGCTTAATTTAACTTTTTTGTTGGTTCAGGTCACTTGACCAGCTCAGTGCAGGATCAGACAGTGCCTGGCCCAGAGGAAGCAGTACCATGTAGTTGAGTTGGCAAAGTGAACAAAACTGTAACTTTGCCAACCTGGATGGGTTTTAAATTCTTTGTAATCACTGTAATGTGAATCACAAAAGCAGGGATGTTGAGATGGGAGCCACCAGTGCTAGTTAACAGGAACAGAGGCCAATCCTGGGACTTAACATCCTTTTTGAGGACCTCTGACTGAGCAATGGTCTTTGTTTGAGCTCTGCAGAACTTGCTCAACCTGCTGAGAATGGGTGTCTAAATCTTAAATATTTCAGAACTTGGGAAACATTGCTGAAGCTTCTTTTTAACAGTGACCATAGCTGGAAGAAAATGGCACTTTTTCTTGTCGGGGGTCAGAGGTTCCAGCCCAATGAGACTATATAGTGGCTCAGATTTTTTCAAGAGCTGAAAGGCTTACGCCTGACATCTTTTAAAGAAAAGCTGTAGTAAATTAGCCCCATACGGTCCTGGGTTTGGGCCACTCACATCTATCCTTTTTTTAAGTTATTCCACCTAACATGTAGTGGTTTATTTTTTTTGAAACTTTTAATCAAAGTGACAGAGTTGCAATTAGAATAACTTTCTCGGCTAAAAGCTAAAAATATGAAACATCCCGGACCTTGGAAGTGCTGTAGTGAATGCTTAAATTAAGCAAAGGAGCGCCCAGTTCTTGATTCTCTTTGGATGAGCTAGATTATCACACTGTTTCAAACAGAAATTTTTGAATAGAAGGATTTTTAGATAATTTTATGGTGAAAAAACCCAAATACCATTAGTGATTTTTTCTGCATTTCTGCTTTGTGTTGGAACAAATGCTCTCAGGTGCTAGCTCATTGGTATTAATACACTCATCACATGAAAAGCAAAAATGTTACTACAGTGCTTGTGTTAAAATGTGTAAGGCATTTGTATAAACTCAAAATATCTTCATCACAGAAAAGAAGCCTGTATAATGCAGTTGAACTGGTTTTATTTATTTGATACAGGAGTATATACTTACCACCTTCGCTGCTACATCTACCAGGCAAGAAACCTCATGGCTTTAGACAAAGACAGTTTTTCAGGTATGGAAAAATCCTTTTAAAGGTGCAGAAAACCCACTTTTGCCATGAATTTGTATCTTGATTTATTTGGATGTAGAATATCTTAACTCCTTAAGGTCTGTGTGTAGGTCCCAGCTACTGAAACTATGCTGTAAAGGAAGTCTCAGGTTTATTACATATTATCTGAATTTGGTTACTAGTGACCCAGAGGCTGCTGCAAGCAAAGTGCTCTGTATGTCCTGTACCAGCTTCTGTCAGTGAATTCTCAGTGAGGGAATTGGATTTCAGATGAGATCTGAATATCACATGACCAGGTCCTTCCTTTTTCCATTGGACTCTCTTTCTAATCAAAGCCTACATGCAATTTTGTCCAGCCGGAAGCTTGCACAAAAGCAAGGATGAAGAAAGCTGGATGGTTTCTTCATTGGTTATGTCACCAAGTGCCTAACAGTGTTCAGTGTTTTATATTAATTCATTACAGAAATGACCTTGCAGAAAGCTACACTGTGCCTTACCAATAAGCATGTCTTTTATTTGTTTATACATGTTTATTTCCTGCTCTTAGGTATTCCAGCAGTGTTGTGTCCATCTGGCATCTTTGTAGTCAGGATAATACCCAGTTTTCAAGTTTTCCTAATTCAAATCAGAATTTCACTGGAAAGTCACAGAGCAAATTGAATTTATGAATTACTGAATTCAGTAAGAATATGACTTTACACTTCCTTTAAGGAAGTTCAACAAAAGACAAAGCTAAAATGAATTTTCTTTCTCCATTACCCTCCATTTGTATCCTTCTTTTTCTCCCTGTAATTAAGTGTAATGCCTCTGTTACCGAAGATAAAGTGCATTGCAAGTTTAGTGATATTTTCTAAAATGAGGAGGGTTTTGTATGGCTGCCTGTCAATTTGGTCTTATTTCAATAGGCAGCACTTAAAAGCAAAGCAAAGAAACAATTACAAACGCCTTTGAATTGTGTATGGATAATTCAGGACAGGCATCTCAGATACAGTCATACATAAATTAGCTCATCTACATTTTATTTTCCTCTAAAATTAGTTTGCAGAATTGGCCAAATTTTGTAAAGTGCTGATCATGTACCTTTTCAGAATCTATTGAAACTGACCTAAAGATAACCTTTAAAATTGCCTTTAGTCTTTAGTAATTGCAATTTGTACAGGAAACATTAATGGCCATCATCAGATACCTTCTACAGAGCTCTTGATGATTTAAAGGCCTGCCAAATACTGGGCCTAGACCACTTCAATCATTCAGCTATTTCACAAGAAGAGGTTGCTATAAATAAGCATGTTTGAAACCTAACCATGATCGGAGCAATATACCCTGGGAGAATTTGTTGTTTGGCAACTAGTCAGAACTTGAATTATTTCTTTCTATTATTTATGAGGCTGTACTGTTGTATATCAATGGAGACAACAAAGAAGAGCTTCTACGGACAAGATTTAAGACAAGATTAGTATAAACAGTGTTTCATTTTAGATTTCTGGTTCTTTTTCTGCTTTGCAAGATATTTTATCATTTTCATTTATTACTCTGTTAATCAAGCCTTTTATGAAGAAAGTGATTTAGTAATCAAATGGAAATTGCTCTATTAAATGTAAATTATGTATATGTGTTCATTTTTGTTTTATATAGAATGGCTTATAGAACCGGTAACGACAGTAGAAAAACAACATATTTGATAAAAAATGTGCTCGTGTGCCTTATGGCTTGATGTGCTTTTGTTTGTCTGTAACTTTGTGCTTTCAATCTTTGTATGATATTTCAGATCCGTATGCTCATGTTTCTTTCCTCCATCAAAGCAAAACAACTGAGATCATTCATTCAACTCTAAATCCTACATGGGACCAAACTCTCATATTTAATGAAATTGAGATCTATGGGGACCCACAGTCAATTGCCCAAAATCCACCTAATGTTGTTATTGAACTTTTTGACAGTGACCAAGTGGTAGGTGAAATCCTTTTACCCTGATTGCTTTTTTATTTATTTATATTAGTTGACAGTACATTAATGGTTATTTTTGCTATTTTTGGTTGCAGGGTAAAGATGAATTCCTTGGAAGAAGTGTTTGCTCCCCCATGGTCAAGTTAATGCCAGAAGATGACATCACACCAAAACTGCTCTGGTATCCTGTAACAAATAATGGCAAAGCTAGTGGAGACATTCTATTTGCTGCAGAACTTATTTTGAGAGACAAGGTATGTATTTCTTTTTTGTATGTGTATATAATAATGTGTATGTCTATGTGTAATATAATAAGATGCAACATATATTCTTTCATGGTGAGACATTACTGGAAGAACTGTATTAGTGCTTGCAAGGTATTTCATCTAAGAAAGATGAGAGAAACTAATACTTATGCTTGTGTCTTAACAGAGTGGTACCAACCTTCCAATTCTTCCATCACAAAGGGCACCAAAGCTTTACATGGTCCCTCAAGGAATCAGACCAGTAGTTCAACTCACTG